TGGAGCCAAGCAAACTAAAACTGTGAACAATCTCAATCTTTTCACCATCCATCCTGATGCTGCCAATTGGCCCAGTGGTTAGAATCTTTGTCTTCTTGACATTGAGCCTCAATCCATATTGGAGGCTGCAGTCCTTGATCGTCTGCAGCGAGTGCTTCAGGTCCTTCTCAGTTTCAGCAAGCAGGATTGTATCATCTGCATATCGCAGATTGTTGATAGATCTTCCACCAATCTTGATCCCACATTTTCCCTCATAGAACTCAGCCTCCCGGATAATCTGTTCTGCATACAGGTTGAAAAGGTACGGAGATAGGACACATCCCTGGCGTTACACCCTTCCTAATTTTGAACCAGGCAGTGTTTCCTCTGTTCTGACGACTGCCTCTTGGTTCAAGTATAGGTTTCTCATTAGCATGATCAAGTGTTCTGGGATTCCCATTCTTCTCAGAGTCAACCACAGTTTGTTATGATGCACACAGTCAAATGCCTTTGCATAGTCAATGAAACACAGATATACATTCCTCTGGTATTCCCTGCTTTCAGCTAAGATCCATATAATACTACCTACAATATCCCTAGTACCACGACCCCTTCTAAACCCAGCCTGGACTGGGGTAATTGGGATGGATGTATTGGAGACAATGCGATTGGCACAGGACAGAGCCGAGTTTAGAGCTATTGTACATAGGATCGCTCTTGAGTAGCAAGCAACTTGACGGCACATAACAACAACAACAACAACAACAACATCTATTAGGAAGAGACAGACGTGTTAATGCAAAGAGTATTAACTGATAAAAATCAGCATTATAAAGTCCTTATACCTATTGTCTGAACAGAGCAAGGGAATCCTCCATGGTTTAAAATCAGGAAAGATGTGTGTCAGGGTTGTATCCTTTCTCCATAGAGAGATGTGATGGCCTAATGGTAAGATTCTGCACTACGATCCTGAAGGCACACAGTTCAAATCCACTAGTTGCTCCATGGGAGAAAGATGAACAGTCTCCTCCCATGGGATTTACTGCCTCTGAAAACCCATGAGAGGGTCAACTATGGGTTGGTTATGACTTGACAGTACACAACAACAACAATTGAACAATAACAATGCAACCTGTATGGTTAGCAAATAATTGAGAATCTGATTTCTATGAAGAAGACTGTGGCTTAGCAAGGGAGGAAGACTTATTAACAACCTGTTTTATACAGATGACACAGCCTTTCTTGCTGAATGTGAGAAGGGCTTGACATACTGCAGAAGCTCAAAGATTGCAGGCTTTAATATGGATTGCATCTCAACATCAAGTAGACAATAATCCTCACCATTGGATCGATAACATCATGATGGGAAAAATATTGAAATTGTTAATAATTTCATCTTACTTCGATCCACAAACAATAGTTGGTATCAGTTGTTAGGAGATCGAAAGACATAGTGCAGCTGGCTGTCAGGGACCTCTCCAACTTTCTGAGGAGCAATGATGTCAGGTGAAGACAAGGAGTGCCTGACTCAGGGCATGGCATTTTCCATTACTTGCTATGCATCTGAGATTTGGACAGTGTCTAAGGATGGCACAAGAAGAGTTGATGCCTTTCAATTGTGGTTTTAGAGAAGAATGCTGATTATTCTGTGGACAGCCAAAAGAGCAGATATTTCTTGGAGAAAGTGCAACCAGAATGCTCCTTGGAGGCAAGGATGACAAAGCTTCATCTCACATATTTTGGGCATGTTACTAGGAAAGGTTGTTTTTTGGAAATGAACATCATACTTGGAAATGTGGAAGAGGCTCAGTGAAAGAGAGTAAGATAATTGACAAGATGGATTGGCACAGTGACTGCCCCAGTGGGCTCGGACATGTCAGAGATGATGAGGACGGCACAAGATAGAACAGGGTTCAGATCAGTTGTTCAGAGGGTTGCCATGAGCTGTACACGACTTGGCACTTAACAACAGCAGCAATGTAAGTTTAGTAAAAACCAAACATCCATTTATTCATTTATTAATTTATTAACTCAGTCTTCTGACTAATATTGTCTTGTGCATTTTTGTAATTGAAACAGACATGATACCTGCTAATTAGAAAAGTCTCTGTAAACTTTCACTAAAATTAATAATAAAAAAAAATCTTAAAAAAAAATGTAAAAAAATAGTGATTTATTTAACTATAGTTCCTATGTTTATAATTAAATAACACACGCACACACTTCTTTTTTAAAGGCACACTTTGGAGATGTGGGTTTAGTTCCCGTTTCAGGTCACAGTAATAAAGTGAATATCAGGTCACAGTAATAAAGTGAAAGCCAGCCATAGGATTTTTTTCTTTTCCCAATGCATATAAAAGTTATGTTTACACTTTACATATATTAGGTATATATTAGCATTATGAAAGTTTGAAATATTGCAAAAATTACCAAACTCTAATACAGAGACAGGAAGTGAGCAGAGACTGTGGGAAAAAGTGATGCTGATAGATATACTTGGTATAGAGTTCTTTTTAATATGTAATAGAAATATTTGTGTAGTACAGTAAAATGAGATATCTGATATTATGCATGCTTGGAAAATATAATCTACTTATTCAAATTCCACAGTGTGCTGTGCCTGGTGTTAATTTTGTTTGGAGGGAGCATTGTTCTAAGTGGTTCAGCACTTACCTGTTTTCTGTACTGAGATAACTTGGGGTTGCTGTAATAGTGAAATCTGTGCCGTTGGTGTGTCACATGCCATAAGGGTTACCCATGGGGACAAGTTTTGGTGGAGCTTCCTGATAATACAGACTAGGATGTGCCTATTTCCCAAATGACAGGCTTTCGAAAAACCTCTGAACACTAAAGAAAGAGGATAGTTTAGCGGTAGAGCTTATATTGGAAGTTAGTTGAAATGAGGAAAAACCATAACAAACATCGTTTAACAATTAGAACATGGATTGTACATAGCTTGAATACTGGAAAACTGGAAACAGTTAAAAATGAAATGGAATGCATGGATATCGGCATAATAGGCATTACTGAGAAGAGATGGACCAGCTTTGGCCACTTTGAATCAGATAATCATAAGATGCGTCTGATTCAGTTCTTCCTGGTTACTTGCTATGTATTTGAGAGCTGGACAGTGAATAAAGATGAAAAGAAAATAATTGATGCCTTTCAGCTGTGTTGTTGGAGAAGAGGACTGAATATCCAATGGACGGCCAAGAGAACAAACATGTGTCTTGGGGATGGTGCAGCCAGTGTGCTCTTTGGAGGCAAGAATGATGAGGCTTTGCCTCACATACTTTGGGCCTGTT